CCCCCCCCCCCCGAAATTCTGGATAATTTTAATAATTTCATAAGAATGTGTAAAAAATTGTTGAGCCGTAAATATCACTTTGTTTTGAGAGAGGAAATTAAATCCTATTGGGATATTTCTCATATTTAATTTAGTTAGCAAAAATATCATTTATTATGTATTAAAGTATATTTGTTGATTTTCCTTTGTATTTGGCACGTAAATAAAAATTCGATAAATTACACGGAAGAAAAATGTTGCTGTTAGTACAAACGCAAAAAGTGGCGTTGGGAGAACGGTAGCTCTTCAACTCGCGAAATCTCAGTCGGATATTAATATTTATTATTCAAATTTTTACACAATAATCTTTGACGTATTCTGCGACTTGTAGAGTTATTCCGAAATTTTCGAAGCACTTTACAACAAAATGGCGGATTTTTAATAATATTTTGTCGAGTTTAGTGATTTCTTTTTCAAACGTTAAAGTTGTGTTACGAATTTTCGAATTAAAAATTTTCATTAATCCTACATTGTAGTTGAATATTTGAAGAAGTTTTCTGGAAAGTTTTAGATCTTTAAATGTTATAGTAAAAAAATTATGACAATTTATATGCAGTGTCAGCGAAACGTCTGACGCGACATTACAACGACATGTATATAAATTATCATAACTTTTTGGTATTGAATTAATTTTGTTTTAAACGAAACTTTTTTTGTTTATACTTACTAAATGTGTCACTAATATAAAAAAGAATATTTAAAAAAATTGATTTCTACAGCCCCTCCCGAAACATTTTTCTCGCTACGCCACTGTATACGAATATATTATATATGTATTAGGTGTTAAACTTCCTGCAGTTTTTCGTCTCCAAAATTGATTTGTTTCGAAGGGAAAATGAATGAATACCTTAATCAAAGTAATTTCTTCCATTTTCTACTTTATTACTAATTAATAATACTTTATTAATAATACTTTGATTAAGGTTTTTCCAGTCCCTTTGTTCAAAAATTCTATAGAACGTACCAAATGATACCTTTCCCGGATGCATATGTCATGCACAAACAATCCTGAGCTTGCGAAATTGTAATCGAAAACCTAAAAAAAAAGATTTTCCAAAATTAAAGTCGTCATTTCTGTACAACAACTACTTTTTTCTCTCTCCTTTTTTACAGATTCGAAAATACTTTTTTAAGATTAAAGTATACACATTAATATGTGTTTGTGAGGTAGAATTTATTCCGAGAACGACAAAAAATTTCGAATTTGAAATCTTAAGAAAAATTTTTTGTTGTTCTCGCATAAATTCCACCTCACAGACACGTATTAATGCATATATTTTAATCCTTTTCAAATCTGTTTATCAGATTTATATTATGTGTATTAATCAAGTCTTTATTACAGTTTTTATCTGTTATTCGTAATGATTTGTAACACCCATTCTCTAAACATTTTAATTAACAACAATTAATATAAAATTAAAAAAAAATTTTATAATAAAATTCAAATATAGAATATAACCTTAATCACATTAAAGTGTAATGAAGAACGTCAATAGAAGCAAACTTTATTTAAATTAATTATTTACAAATTTTAATATGTCATTTAACGTTATAAAGATTGTTTCGAAAATGCGAATAAGCAAAAATTTGTTAAATTGCTAGTCAATTTAACTAGTGATATTACTGCGATAGTTAATAGAGTTAGCGTTTTAAGACCGAAAAATCATTTCGGCGCGCATTTCTGGGGACTACATACGTAGTATATAAATTCACATAAGAATCATACAAGCATTAAGATCCACCTTGACCGTTTAGACGTTGATTTCTATAGTTTGTTTTATTTAAATGTTGAGATTTAATTGTTGACCTAATTCATTATATATACCGGTGAAATATTTCGAATAAAATATTTTTTATAACCAAGAAATCCCGTAAATGAAATAGTAATGCGAAGATTAAAGTTAAGAAATATAGTTATGACTTATTTTAAAAAAACATCTGATATTTATTAATTATTTTATTTTTCACGTAGACCAAAAGTAACATTCAAAATAATTTTACTTTTAATACACAAAAACGGAAATAGCATACATATTTGGCAGTCGCGGGTACGGATAAGTGTATTAAATACAGTAATCTTCGTCTGTATTGGCGCCATCTTACACAAACATATAGACATATCCGCCTTTCAATTATTAAGATGTTTGCATGTTACATTTTGCTTCAACTAATCTCGCTCTATTTTTATCTTATTTTTTTTTATACCTGTATTGATTAATAAGAAATAACATTTATTAACATTTATTATAATATTTACAGTGTTATATATTATTAAAATAAGTCAAATGCTAAACAAATCAATTTTTACATTAATATTTAATTTAAATATTTAATTTAAATTTAAATATATAATTTTTACGTACATTGATATTTTATAGTAATCGAATAATATTTTTACAGATTATAAAAACTTCAGCGTCCTTTATATCCATCCTACTTACGATGGGTTGAAGATTTATTATATTTACATTGAATTTCTATTTAGTGTTAACAGTTATTGTTAATAGTTATTGTTTCATTATTAACATATTTGCACATAAATTAATATTAACAAAAACCGTTGAATTATTACTTACCATTTTTTTTTATCCGATACATTTGCACGTGTATATGTATTAGTAGAAAATAAGAATATATATAAATTCGCAGCCTGTCAAACTATAGATCGATAAGCCAAGATACGCAATGTTTATTAAATGAGATCGAACAATACAATCCTGAGCTGCTTTCCTCTTTCTCACATATAACACTGTTCCTATTTTATGATTTCCGACAATGTTCTTTTTATTTTCGAGCGGTACTTCATTTAAATGTTATATACTTGCAGCACGTACGATGTTTTACATTCAAGTCTCACAATTTGTTGTTGTCATCTTATCCTATCATGAAACAAAGAAAGAAGGAAAGAAAAGGGATGAATGAGGTTAAAAATATCTTAAATTCTCTGTTTCTTTTTACAACTTCGTAATCATAGAGCTACAGTTATAATTGAGTATATAAAAATTTCTATGAAATAATAATTATTGGCTTTACCCAACCTTTTTTTCTTAAAAATTTGCAATTTCTCCATTCTTCGTTACAGCAAAGTCATTAAAAATGTTCAATGCTTAAAGTGTGTACATTCTGTGTTCATGACTTATAGTACAACACTATATAAGGGTGCATTGGAGAAATGGAAAGTTTTCTTAAATCGAATATACTACAATAGTTATATTTGTGTTTATCATGTGGTCGCAATTCTACTTTCCTCTAATAGTATAAAATTACAACATACGTAAGAAAAAAAACTAGTAGTAACAGTATTAAAGGAATTATTATTTATTACGATATTATAAATAATATTTTATTTATTTTAAATATAATTAAATCAATTAATTTTTCTTGTACGCTCAAAATATCGATAATAATAATTATGGTACATAACCAGTGCTCCTTTGCATAAACATATATTAGCATACATTTTTGTAATGTTGACACAATTTTATAATATCAAAACAATCTATTATCAAAGATTGACATAAGCTATTTGCATTTTACGATATTGTTTATAGCTTATAAGTAATATGCTTTGTCAAGAACACCGCCATTACTAAAATAGAAAACTTCACTCAGAGCATTTCGTTCTCCATCTCCTGCTTCTGATTGATTTATTTACGATCATTGCACGCAACCTGTATCTGATGTGCACCAGAGCTTCTTCCAAAATTATGCGATTTATATATTTCAGGAAAATAAATCGTGAACGTGTGCACACTAGCCGCACTTACATAATGCGCGAGGAAGAATATCTTTTAATGTAAAGGAAATAAATACTCAGAAAAGAAAAGCTTTCGCTTTCTCTACCCTCTTTCTCGAAGAAGTCTCCCTTATTCACGGATATACAAAACTTTTCTTACGGTCACCGAGCACAATTTAAGTCCTGTGAATGTACGCGTATTGCTATCTGTTGTTGCTTGAATTTTTAAAGAATATAATGCATTACGAGCTATACCGCCGTTTCGTCCAAGAATTTGAGAGGGAGAACGTCGATCATCCGGAAACATCTTTTTTTTTTATCGCCAATATACACGCAATCTGTACACGTTGCGATCAAAATATTTAGTAAGTAGTGGTTCACGAGAGAATGCCCTCCACTCTCGTTCTCTTTCAAGCTCTCAGTATGTACAAAGACACTGCATCATAAACGTACGATCGATCAAGTGTTCTCTGTAACACTGTGTCTTTTTTAAATTTTCTTGACGGATTCGATACATATTAACAGTGCAAAATAATAAGAAAGTAGTATTAATAGAAATATGAAAGCAAAGAATACTGTTAGTCCTGCAGCAACCGAAATCTTGTTACGTATCTTTGGCATTTGGCCGAACACGTCGTTCGTTTTGTTACGTAGATTGTTCTGGACTATTTCGATTATAATCGAGCAAGTTGGTCAATATCGATACATTGTAAAACATTATCATTTGATGGAGCTTTTCGAGATAATAATATTTTTAAGTTTAGCAGTGGCGATGACGAGATTTTATATTGTACTCGTCCTTTTTTGGTGTAAACAGCGGTGAGATACGCAGTGGTGAGACACATAGTAGAAGTACTATCAGTGAAAAATTTGTTTTAAACATTATTTAATTACATAATTTATTCAAATTAAGTCAATTAAATAAATTTAGCATTACGTCTTATTTCAACAATTACCACTTTAGATGGTAAGGTGATTTATTCGACAGTTACAAACGTTAACAGACTAAAAACAATTGGTGTAATAAACAAATTATTAAATGTAAAAATAAAATATAAATGAACAAATATCTCGAAAGTTATTGCATAACGATACATTTTTCATCGATGATTTGTATAATGCTTCATTGTGACAGTTATCATGATTATAACCAATAAAACTATTTGTAGAACATTCAGTAAGATATTAACGATGATGGCCATTGACTGGGAAAAGTGTTCCAGCACAAAATTCAGTATATTCGCTACATACAATGCTAAACTGTCGGAGCGCTTCGTTAACATGACGGTGATTCTTTATTCGATAGCTGCAATTCTTACTAGCACCAAGATCTTTGTAAAACACATGGATAGTGGCAATGCTTCCAATGTTTCCACACGGTTGCTCATTGTAGAGATGGATCTGCCATTTGACACTAATCAAAGATTTGTATATGGATCTGTCATAATTATCCAATTTCTTCATTTATTGCTGTGTTCCAATGTTATGGGTGTATTCAATGCTTTACTCATAAATCTGGTAAGTTCTATTATGTAAGTAGATATTGTTTCTATGTATTATTTTTATTATTCATAAAATTAATATCTTGATATTTTAATAATTTGTGATCAATTAAAATTAATTTATTGATTGAATGTTTGATTATTGCCCCTATTATAAAAAATAATATATAGGCTATTCTGTCATATGCTGCTCTTTGAATTTTAAAATATTTTGTACGGTATTAATTAAATTTATGCATTAAAATATTTTTTCTTAATATCGATTAGCACAGTAGTTCAGAAGAATGTATACATTTTAGATATTGCATATAGGCGGTCAAATCGATATTCTGCGTGAGAGTTTGAAGGGAATTGTTCCGAAGAAAGACAAGGACAGCTCGAGTCATTTCACGGTAAATGAAGTAATAAAAAAACATCAGAAAATCATTACCTTCTCAGAGCATATCGAACATCTGTATTCGTATATCGCGATGGTACTCTTCGTATCGGATATTCTGGTTATCTGCTGCTTAGGTTCTACAATTGTCGCGGTAAGTATTATAATTTTGTTTAAATCAACAGTAAAGAGTAATATACACTATAGGAACCGCTGTTGAATTTGTAGAATGAAGGAGAACTATTTTGTGCATTTAATTAGTCAATATTTTATTACCTTTCCGTTGCTCTTACAATGTTTTTTAATATTCCAGTCCATCGGTAGACCCGACGTTTTAAAAAATATAATTAGGGTCCTCTTATTTTACTTCGTCATGAATATGGAAGCATTCGTATTTTGTTTTGCTGGGGAATACTTGAGCGCTAAGGTTAGACATCAAAACGATTATATTAATCACGATATTATAATATTATTATATAATTGTTTGTATACACACACACACAGCCACAAACATATACAGAATCCCATTTTAATTAACTCAGACGAATATCTTGAAAAAAAACGTAAGGCACATACAAAATGTTTCAGATGAAAGTGGAACTATTTCGAGGGGACGAATTTTATTCACGTTGTTTTTTTATAGGTGGGTAGGTCAAAAAGATATGAGGTCACCCCTACTTTTTAAATGATTTCTCTACAAAATTTTTTAAAAAATTATTTCGTTCATGGAAGTATTAATTTACGGTTATTAAAAAGTAGTATATGAAACATTTAATATTTTATGTCAATGTATGCCGGAATATAGTATAAAATATCTTATAAATTAATAGTTTTTTTTATATTAACAAATATAATATTTTTATATACATAATATTTAGAGGAATTATATTATAGATAAAAAATCATGTAATTCCATTTAGAAAAATATACTAACCTTCATATCTTTTTGATGCCTATATGAAAAAATACAAATGTGACTAAAATAAATATCTCCCACGAAACCGTTTCACTTTCATCTGAAATATATTTTTGAATCATACATATTTTTCAAAATATTTACCAATTAACAATCTGTACAAATGTAAATGTTACAAGAATAATTATTTAATAGAATAAAAGTATCGGAGATGCTGCCTACGCTTCCCTCTGGTACGAATCAGATTCCAGAACAAATCGAATTATATTGTTTTTGATAATGAGGTCACAAAATGAGTTAACAATTACAATTGGAAAGATAATGAATTTGTCCTTGGAACAATTTACTAGTGTAAGTCTATTTCATATTTACATTATACGTATAGCCTTTCAGAATAGATTTTTCACAAATGATTATTTTATCCATAATTATCTATAAATATAAAGTGTGCTTGCTCTTTTTAAAATGAAATGAATTAATATTATCAATTACAACAATAAATAATTTTATTAGGACCGTAATGAAATTAAATACTAACAATAAGTAAGCATATTCAAACGTATAACGGTCGAAACTAGATCTTTCAATAGCTAAATAATTCAAAGTGAATTATATATATACTATATATGTACACGCATATATATCATATTTTGTAGTTATTCAAACTGTGGGCGGAATTTTTTCCGGACTTACAAATGCAATTAAACGTAAGGCCTCGGTGGTTTAATAGGACGCTCGTACGGAATACAAGAGATCCGGATTCATGTCCCGGCCAAGGTAATAGTTTTCGCAATAAATTTATTTAAAGTTTTTCAGCACATTAACATCCTTCTAATATAATTCCGGATTGAACATCAAAATTTGCTTGGCAATTTAATTTAATTTGTGATATTATTCCAGTAGTTTACTTGCGTTTGTAAGTTCGAAAAAAATTCCGCGCGCAATTTGAATAACTGCAAAATATAGTATAAATGCATGTACACATTAGACTGCCAAAAAAAATTTTTTTTTTAATTGGTCACTTAGCTCAAAAGCTTCTATTTCATGCCAAAAGAACCCCCCTAAATTTTTATCAAGAAATATTAAGACTTAAAGGTTTCTAGTGAACAATTTTTATATCAAAGTTTTGATTTTCTTTAATACATGTTTGATTTGATGCAAAAATTGCTTAAACCGGATTTTAAAAGGGTACCGTATGTTTTTTTTGGTCGCTGATCTCAGTGTAATAATTTATTTAACTCTATGATGTACACCTTAAGAAATACAGCCCGATTAATGTGAAAAGATTACCAAATTTCGAGTTCAAAGTCGTTTTTAGTAAGGTTCCAAGCGTTCAAATGGTCGTTACTCCTCTCAAATAGTAGGTTTGTTCACGCAGAACAAGATTTAATTGGAATTTTTCCGGAATCTCTTATAGAGTCTTTAAAAGTTACATTTAACTGAATTATAAAACGATTTTAAGACTAGAAAAATTATTTCCACAAGTTCTAAAGTATATCGCTTTGTGTGGTTTTGACATCCTCAAATAAAATACCTCAATTTGTCAATAAAAAACTCTTTATTACAAAATTAAATGAGTACTAACACAAAAAATATTAGGTATTTAATTAATTAAAATAAGCTACATATTATATAGTTTATTTCATTAGTTAAATCATATTTGTATTATGTACTCATTTCCAGTTGGAATTTTAACTGTGAAGTTAATTATCTAACTAATTTATGATACATTATAAAGAAATTAGAGAATTATGTGTGTTTATCAGATTTATATTATGTGTATTAATCAAGTATTTATTACAGTTTTTATCTCTTATTCATTTGTGATACCCATTCTCTATACGTTTTAATTAACAACAATTAAAATAAAATTTAATTTTTTATAATAAAATTTAAACATAAAATATAACTTTAATCATATTAAAGTCTAATGACATTAGTAGAAAGACATTAATAGAAAGACATTAATAGAAGCAAATTTTATTTTAGCGTTGAAATTTAATGGTTAGGATAATTGGCCTAATTCATTATATACCATTAAAATATTTCGTATAAAATATTTTTTATAATCAAAAAACTGTAAATGAAATAGTAATGCGAAGATTAAAGTTAAGAAATATACTTATGACTTATTTGAAAAAAAAAATATCTAATTTTTATTAATTATTTTATTTACCACTTAGATCAAAAGCAACATTCAAAATAATTTTACTTTTAATACACAAAAACGGAAATAGCATACATATTTGGCAGTTGGATACGGATAAGTGACGGATTCAACACAGTAATCTCCGTCTGTTTTGGCGCCGTGTTACACAAACATATCCGCCTTTCAATTATTAAGATGTTTGCATGTTACATTTTTCCTCGACTATAATCTCGCTCTATTTTTGTCCTATATTTTTTTATACCTGTATTGATTAATAAGAAATAACATTTTTATTAACATTTATTAACATTTATTACAATATTTACATTGTTATATATTATTAAAATAAGTCAAATGCTAAGCAAATCAGTTTTTATATTAATATTCAATTTAAACATTTAATTTAAATTTAAATATTTAATTTTTTTACATTGATATTTTATATAGTAATCGAATTATGTTCTTACAGATTATAAAAACTTCAGTGTCCTATATATCCGTCCTACTTGCGATGTGTTGAAGCTATATTATATTTACATTGAATTTCTAATTAATGTTAGCAGTTATTGTTAATAGGTATTGTTTAGTTATTAGAAAATTTGCACATAAATTAATTTTAACAAAAACGTTGAAGTATTACTTACTATTTTCTTTTATTTCTTACACTTGCACGAGTAAATGCATTAGTAGAGAATAAGAAATTTAGACTGTCAAGTATACATCGATATCCCAAGATACGCAATGTTTATTAAATGAGATCGAAACAATACAATCCTGTTCTGCTTTTCTCTCTCACACATAACGTTGTTCCTACTTTATGATTTCCGACAATGTCCTTTTTATTTTCGAGCGGTACTTCATTTAAGTATTGTGTACTTGCTGTACGTACAACGTTATACATTTTTAAGTCGGACAATTTGTTGTTGTTATATTAGCCTGTCATGAAATAAAGAGAGAAGGAAAAAAAAGAGACAAAGGAGGTCAAAAGTACCTTACTTTCTATTTCTTTTTACTTCGTAATTGTGGAGCTATAGTTATAATCGAGTAACTAAAGATTTCTAAAAATAAAAAAATAATTATTGACTTTATCTAACCTTTTTTCTTAAACATTTACAATTTTGCCATTCTTCAGCATAGTAAAGTCATTGAAAATGTGCAATACTTACTTTGAAATAAAAAGTGTATACATTCTGTGATAATGACTTACACCCAAAGAAAGGTTCCTTCGATTTAAAGAAATGTTTCTTTGCTATACGGTTAAAGAAAAAATTTTTTTGGTTTGAACGTCTCATTTCTTTCAACATAATTTCTTTAAATCAAATGAATTTTTTTATTTGATTTCAAAAAGTAGTGTTTAAATCAAAGAAATAACGTTCAAATCATAAAAATTTTTTCTTTAACTGTATAGCAAAGAAACATTTTTTTAAATCGAAGAAACCTATCTCTTGGTGTGTATGGTACAACACTATAGTACAGAAGTGCATTGAAGAAACAAAAAGTTATCTCAATTGGAATATGCTACAATAGCTACATTTATATTTATCATGTGTTCGTAATTCTTCTACTTTCCTCTAATAGCATAAAATTATAACATATGTAAGAAAAAAAAATCAGCAGTAACAGTATTAGAGAAATTATTATTGTTGATATTTATTTTGGTATTATAAATAATATTTCATTTACTTTAAACATAATTAAATCAATTGATTCTTCTTTCATGCTCAAAATATGGATAATAATATTACATAACCAATGCTCTCCCTGCATAAATAGATATTACCTTACATTTTTGTAACATTGAAACAATATTATAATGTCAAAACAATCAAAACAATCTTTTATTGAAGATTAACATAAGCTCTTTGCATTTTACGATACTGTTTATAGCTTATAAGTACTATGCTTTGTCAAGAACGCCGTTACTACTGAAATATAAAACTTCACTCAGCACTTCGTTCTCCATCTCCTGCTTCTGATTTACTTATTTACGATCATTGCGCGCAACCTGTATCTGACGTGCACCAGAGCTTCTTCCAAAATTGTGCGATTTACATATTTCAGGAGAATGAATTGCGAATGCGTGCACACTAGCCGCACTTACATAATGCGCGAGGAAGAACATCTTTCGATATAGAGGAAATAAAATCTCGGAAAAAGAAAAGCTTTCGTTTTCTCTACCATCTCTCTTCCTAGGAAAAGTCTCCCCTAATCATGGATGTACAAAACTTTTCTTACAGTTACTGAGCGCAGTATAATGTCCTGTGAACGTTCGCGTGTTGCTATCTGTTGCTTGAATTTTTAAAGAAAATAATGCATTGTGAGCTACACCACCGTTTTGCTCAAGAATTTGAGAGGTAGGAGATCGACCATCCGGAAATTTCTTTTTTTTTATCGACAATATACACGCAAACTGTACACATTGCGATCAAAATATTTAATAAGTCGTAGGAGAGTGCCCTCCACTCTCATTCTCTTTCAAGCTCTCAGTTTGTACAAAGACATTACATCGTGCACATCGTACAATCGATCAAGTGTTTTTCGTAACACCCCTGTTTTTTTTTATTCTCTTATCGAATTCGATGTATATTAACAGTGCAAAATAATAAGAAAGTAATAATAATATAAATATGAAAGTAAAGAATACTGTTAGCCCAGCTACAGAAATTTTGTTTCGTATCTTTGGCATTTGGCCGAACACGTCGTTCGTTTTGTTACGTAGACTGTTCTGGACTGTTTCAATCGTATTCGAGCAAGTTGCTCAATACCGATATATCGTAAGAAATTTCCGTCTAATGGAGTTTGTAGAGATAGTAACCATTTTAAGTTCTGTAATGTCGTATACGATATTTTTAATTAAACTCATCATTTTTTGGTATAAACAGCGGTGAGATGAGTATTGGTGAGACACATAATATACGCACTATCAGTGAAAAATTTTGTTTTAAAAATTATTTGATAACACTAATTATCCAAATTAATGTAATTAAATAAATTTTGTTTTATGTCTTAATTCAACAATTACCACTTTGATCGGTAAAGTTAATTATTCGGCAGTTGTGAACATGACAAGGCTGAAGACAAATTGCTATAATAAATAAATTCTTAAACGCAAAAATAATATAAGTGAACACTTATTTGTAAAGTCATTGCATAAAGATAAATTTTTCATCGATGGTTTGCATAATATTTCATTACAGCTGTTATCATAATTATGTTTAAATATAAAACTATGTAGAACATTCAACAGCTTATTAACAATGATGGCGATCGACTGGGAAAAGTGTTCTAGGACGAAATTCAGTATGCTCGTGACATCGTATAATGCCAAATTGTCGCAGCGCTTTGCTAACATGACAATGATTCTTTATTCGACAGCTGTAATTCTCTATAGCACGAACATCCTTATGAAACACGTGGATGATGACAATGCTTCTAATGTTTCCACACGATTGCTCGTTTTAGAGATGGATCTGCCATTTGACGCTAATAATAGATTCGTGTATGAATCGGTCATAATTGTTCAATTTTTTTATTTGCTATTATGTGCCGACGCAATTGGTTTATTAAATGCCTTACTCATAAATCTGGTAAGTTCTGTTGCGTAAGTATTATAAATATCGTTTTTATAGGTTATTTCTATTATTAATAAAAATTAATTTTTTTGTACTTCATTAAGTAGTAAAACAGAGTAAAGACCTTAAAAAAGGTTTTTATTTGTCAATTTTTTTAAAGGTAACTATAAATCTTAGGAAGAATATGAATTCGTATACCAAATGGATACACTTTGAAGACATTTTAAGAATTTTTGTATGTCTAAATATAAATATATGGCGTTGCACATTATAGACTTCCGTGTTCAAAAAACATGGTCTATCGGCGATATAAAGAACTTAAGTTGTAATGATCTGAAATGAAAATTTCTTAAAAATTTCAATTCTGTATGAATGTAATTTCAGTTGAGAGAGCGTAATAATTTTTCTAAATAATTCTTTTTTACAAAATGGCAGTGGTTTAAAACAAATTTTAATTTTATTATATTACCTCTTAAACATCTCACGCCCTTCGAAAACTAAAAATTAATTTAAAAAATCCCTACGCTTAACTGAAACTATTCATATTGTGAAGCTGTTCAATGCTGAGGCCGATTGGTCAAAAATTTTTCGAGTTATAGATGCCGTCAGTTGAAAAAAAATAGTTTTGAAAAAAACGCGTTTAAAGTTTCGGTATTGATTATTTATTAGAAATCTATCTATCTATCTATCTATTTCTCTCTATCTATATATTTATCTGTTTATCTATCTATTACCTGCACACAACTTCTTTCTTAAATCAGATGCGTATCTCTGTAGCACTATGTTCCCGTTCGCTACAACTCACATAACTCGAGAAATACTTCGAATTTCATAGAAAATTTTTAGAAGCGTATATTTTAGATATTAATGTTTTGAAAAAAGTGATAAACGTTTTTCAATTTTTTGAAAATTTTACTGTGTTTTAATCTATCAATTAATTTCAATTTATTAATAGAATATTTAATTATTGTCTATATTATAAAAAATAATTTATAAGCTACTCTGATTTATTGAATTTTAAAACATTTCGTACTGCATCAATTAAATTTAAAAATTAAAATACTTTTTTGCAACTTGCATTTGTATGTTAGTTCTGAAAAACGTACATTTTAGATATTGCATATAGGCGGTCAAATCGATATTCTTCGTCAGAGTTTGATGGCAATTTTTCCGAAGAAAGAGAAGGGCAACTTGAGTCATTTTATGATCAAGAAAGTAATCAAGAAACATCAGAATATCGTCACCTTTTCAGAGCACATCGAAGATTTGTATTCGTATATCGCGATGGTGCTCTTCGTGTCGGATACTCTGATTATCTGCTGCTTGGGTTTTACAATTGTCGCAGTATGTATTAGAATTTTGTTTAATTCCACAATAAAAAGAAATATACACTATAGGAATCACTGTTGAATTTACAGAATAAAGGAGCATTATTTTGTGCTTTTAATTATTTAGTATTTACCTTTCCGTTACTCTTAGAATGTTTCTTAATATTTTAGTCAATCGGTGGACCCGATGTTTTGAAAAATATAACTAGGACCCTCTTATTTTACCTCGTTATGAATATGGAGGCGTTCATATTTTGTTTTGCTGGAGAATACTTGAGCGCTAAGGTTAGACACTAGAGTGAATATATCAATCACGATGTCTTAAGTATAATATTATAGAATTGTTTTTATAAAAACACACACACATACAGAAATACACATGTACACAGTTATGTATATTACACAGAGTATTGCATTATAATTGTTCCAAACAAGTATTTTGAAAAATACATAAAAAATATGAAAAAATTATTTTAAATGAAAAAGTTGTTTTGAAAGAACGTATTTTGGTCACGTTGTTTTTTTTAGATGTATATGCCAAAAAGATATAAAAATCATTTCTACTTCTTTATATAGAATTAAATAATTTTTTTACATAATATAATTTTTCTAATTATTCTATTGATAAAAGTGTTACGGTATGATTATTAAAAAGTTAATAGTTTACGAAATATTCAATATAAAAGTATTTAATTTTTATGTCAACATATGCCAAAATAAAGTATAAAATATCTTATAAACTATCTTATAACTATCTTATAAATATCTTATAAAGTCTTACAAATCTTTATGATATATCTTTAAAATATCTTTATAATATCTAATATATATTTATATATCTATATATAATATCTAATACATATTTATATATCTTTAAATAAATATCTTATAAAATATCTTATAAACTTGGAATTTAATATTTCTACCGTAATACGTTTTACAGAATAATTAGAGGAATTATGTTGTGTAAAAAAAAATCATATAATTCCATTTTAAAAAGTAAAAGTGTCCTTCATATTTTCTTGGCACTTTAAGATAAAAACAATGTGACAAAAATACATGGAATCCCATGTAACCGTTCCAGTTTTGTCTGAAACACTTTTTTGTGTATTTTTCTAAAAATACATAAATCACGTATTTTTCGAAATATTTGCCAATTAAAATGGTATACCCTGTATGTATAAAATGGTATACCCTGTATGTTGCAAAATTAATTATTTAACAGAGTAAAAGCATCGGAGATGCTGCCTACGCTTCCCACTGGTACGAAGCAGATCCTAGAAACAGTCGAATTATATTGTTCTTGATAATGAGGTCGCAAATACAATTAACCATTACAATTGGAAAGGTAATGAATTTGTCCTTGGAACGATTTACTAGTGTAAGTTTATTTCAGATTTGCTTTATACGTGTAATCTTTTAGTACAAATTTTATGCAAATGATTATTTTACCCATAATTATCTATATTAAGTAAAAAGTATGTTCGTTCTTCTTAAAATTTAAGTAAAATATTGATATCCATTAATTTTTGTTACATAAACACATACACACACACATACATACAGAGTGTAATTAAAAAAAAGACAAACTTTGTGGGCAAGTTTTCACTACCAAATTAAAAAAAAATTAAGAAGTTCTTTACAATTCTATTTCTAATTTAATTTCTAATTTAATCGTTATATTTTTGTCTTATATTATATAGTTAAAGTATAAAGCTCAAAGTATAAAACACACGTATTTTGCAGCTGAGTACAGATGATTAGTGTATTCAGTTGTAGTCTCTTACGCAAGCATAGACATATTTGTATGCGTTACTAATATATTTGCATATTCCAACTTGCCTCTACACTTAATTCTGCTCTACCCTATATTATTTTTAATATGTATATTGATTAATAAGAAATAATATTTGTTGCAATACTCTCATTATTACATACTAAAATGAGTCCAATGCTAAACAAAAAATCATTTTTTACATAAACACTGAATTTTCATATTTAATTTCTACGTACATTAATATTTTATAATATTTAAATAATATTCTTACAGATTATAAAAGCTTCAGTTTCCTATATATCCGTCCTACTTGCAATTTAATGAAGCGGTTCTATATTTTATTTACATTGAATTTTTAATAAATATTAACAGTGTCGTCAGTGGTTACTATTTATTTATTAAAAAATTTTTACACACACACACGCATATTATATAAATAGTGATAATAATCGTCGCAGAATTACTTACCATTTTCTTCCATCCCTTACACACTTGCATGCGTGTATGTATTAGTCGAGAGTAAGAATAAATTTGAGACTGTCAGGCCATAGATCGATAATCCTAGACACGGAATGTTTATTAAATAAAGTCGAACTATACAATTCCGTGCCGCTTTTCTCTCTCGCACCCGACATTGTTCGCACTTTGTGATTCGCGACAATTTTCCTTTTATTTTCCAGCGGTACTCCATTCGAACATTGTGTATACTTGATGTGCGCATGGCATTTTGCATTTTCATCTCATAATTTATTGCTGTCGTGTTATCCTGTCATGAAACAGATAAAGAAGGAGAGAAAAGAGACAAAGAAGGAAAAAATTTTTTAATTTTTTGTTTTTTTTTATGATTTCATAATCGTAAATTTATAGTTATAATACTTATAACTGAATATCTTATATACATATACATATACATATATATATATATATATATGTTTGGTATCAAAAGTATATATACTTATATTTAATGATTAATCGTTATCGATTATCTGTCAATTGTGTGTGGTGCGCTTTAGCGTTGTAATTTTTAACGGGCTACTTCGTGGTTATTCTTGAACAAACACACAAAACGTATCAATGCTTGATTTCATGAACCATTGATAAAGAAACTTTTTTTTTTCTTTTAATTACGAAAATATCTGCTATAAATATGAGTATGTTTCTCTATAGAATTAGTTCTTTTTTTTACGTCTGACAAGACATGTTGCATATGTATTATTTTGCATACATTGTTACAATTTGTCATATTAATTGTCGTTCAAATTTGTCATTATGCTTACTTTGTATTGCACTATCACTGATAAACTGTAGATTTGATGAATAATTTGAGCAGCTCTTTAATGTACAGCTTATTTCTTCATATTGATTATTATATCTTCAACGTTGAATTAATCTTAGATTACCGCTTAAAAAAGCGATTATTCTCTCAATCGCTTTTTTGTGAGATACCAATATAAAATAGTAAATTTTATGTAGTATTTTATAAAGTTATACAGAATTTGTTTTTTTCAATATTGAAAGTTTTGTAATATTTTGACTATGATAGCCGCCAAACGGACAAATCAGAATTTTCTGGTTGAATGTATTACTCTCTAAAAGTGAGTCAGTGTGAGTTAATAGTGATTTTAGTGTTACACTTATAACTGATGTAATCAACAGCGAATATTTACTGTTTTTCAGTAATAATATACACACACATTGATTTACTTTTAGAGATTATGATTTCTGCAGATTGAGAATCTGCAAAAAATTAAAACCTCTAAAAGTCAGAAAATCAGTAGATTATTACTGAAAAACAGTAATAAAAATATTCGTTGATAATTACATCAGTTATAAGTATAGTATTAAAGTTACCGATTCACTTTTGGAATATTCTAATTCTACTGATAATTAAAATTCTGATTAATATAATCAAAATTTTCTGGTTAGTGTGTCTATTTCCAACTAGAAATTTTTCTCAGTGAAAGAAAACTTGAAAAATCCGTCAGCTCACACACGATAACGTATATATATAACTGATCGATCATATCGCGTTTCGAATGTAATTATCAGCCTTTACACTGCCGTCGAGTCGTAATGATATATAGTTTTGATGTAATTTTGCCTAATACGGAGGGATAACTTTAATATATCAACTGCTTCGTTCGGGCACTTATCCTGAGGATAGAATTTTTCTTTAACAGCAATGACTCATTCTGCACAAGACTCATGACGATAACGCAATTTTTTCGCCATCTGACAAAAGGGTGCTCGATTGACGTACTAAACGCTTTAATCATGACATTGGTAAGTCCTAAGATTTATTGCTAAAGTTCAAAATAATTTTACATGAAGTAATCATCGTCAATATGCTTCCGATCATAAATCTCATTAACTGGATATAGATAAAACTTCACATCAATTTTGTAAGCTAAAATTTAAGTTGTTTAAATTAATTTTGCATCAATATTATATGATTTATTGCTATAATAAAGCAATGTAAAAAAAGACGTGTACATTTTTTTGGCTCATAATAAATTAAAATTATTTTATCTTTTTTACAGACTTTACTTTTTATATTCTATAATAAATATTCATTATTTCTAAGTATTCTAGTATCATATGTATATACAGGGTGTCTCGACCTTTTTTGCCAATCACTTTTGTGTAGATAGAGTGGACTAAACTGAGTCGAAAAGTCCTCTACCATTTTGCAATTTTCGCAATAGTTAACAAAATTACTAAAAATTGCAAAATATCGGTCTTAAATAATTTTTTACTCAAATACTATCAACTTTACAGAAAAACTGCAAGAGACAAAAATCATTTATTTTCTTCTCATAAAATTCTGAGAATTTTTTCAGAATTTTTTAACACCGTATTTTCTCACGTTGATAAAAATAAGAAAATGCAGTACTAAAAAGTTGATAAAAAATTCTGAAAAATTCTTAGAATTTTATGGAAAGAAAATAAATGATTTTTGTCTCTTGCAGTTTTTCTGTAAAGTTGATAGTATTTGAATAAAAAATTATTCAAGACCAATATTTTGCAATTTTTAGTAATTAATATCTTGTTAACTATATTGCGAAAATGTCAAAAGGGTAGAAGACTTTTCGACTCAATTTAGTCCGCTCTATCTACACAAAAGTGATTGGCAAAAAAGGTCGGGACACCCTGTATACATATACAAAATAATGTAAAAATGTATTTAAAATAACTTTTTTATCAAAGATATTTACTTATGTATCTTTCTTCCAGTTCAAATAACACTTGTTCATACGTGTATATATGGCTTAGTTTACCGATAGTTATTTATATAAAGTATGCTGTAAGGTTTATCTCAATAGTTATTTTTGTTTTCATTGCTGTAATTTTTAGATATTTTATATTAGTGATCAAATTAATTCTTACTGGAACAGTTCAAACATGTTTTTTTTGTAAAAAAGATAACATGCACCGTTTAACCGAATTACTATGGATATCTTATAAACATTATAAATTTATTTTATATATAAAAAATGTTGGAGGTCTTGATATTGTTATATCGCTGCAATTTATATGTAGAATATTTGAATCGTTTGCTTGGTAGAAATTATTACTGTTATTGTGAGTCAAATTAAAAGGTGTCAAGGAAATTAATTCTTGTCAATAATTTTATGATTTTCACTAGCCAAATATATATATTATTTAGAAAGCTACTGACAAAAAAAGTTTAGAATATAATTTTCGACTAAAAGTAATAAAAACTTAATTAATAATACTATATAAACTGAAATATTAAAACGGTATACAATTGAATTTTATACATATAAGAAAAGTATTCCACAACATTACATTAGATAATAATATTCTATAATACGATTCTTTATAATAATATTAAAAAGGGAAGAATTTTGATTTTATAGAATAGTGATAATCGCATAGTTTGAAGGATAAAGATATGAAAAGAATATTAATGCAAATAATGTTGCAGTCAATAAGCGTTTCTACAATATTGATGAAGAGTGTACTGTTTTACAACATCATAAATCTCGAGACGTTCAGTTTTTGCTTGGTCGAGGAATTACTACAAAGGTATAATATTAACTCAACAACTCGATTTTGTAATCTATTTTAAAGTAGTCTACGAATATATAATGTTTCAACTTGGCAACGAGTGACATTTAATTAATATTTGTCCTGTAAACTTTAATTTTAATAACGGAGCATATATAATATTTAAATTTTTATATTTAAACAAATTTAACTGTAGTTACGTAGGAATTAACGACGATTGGCTTTTGTTATATATATAGCTTGACGGCTTTAATTCTTTTGTCATGTTTTACGTAACGTGCAAATTGTGTTCGTAACAGTAAATAATTAGAAAAGCTATTTCATTTGACCTTTAGAATCAATATATCGTCAATGCGGCTTATGAATCTCTTTGGTACAATACAACACGTGAACGAGAGTTGAATGATATCATTTTTGTGATTTGAGATCGCAAAAATATGATTAACAAAACTACAATTGAAAAAGTTATGGATCTGTCATTGAAACGTTTTAATAGTGTAATCGAAAGAAAACTCCATTATATTTGTTGTATTTTTGAAAGTATTTTTATCCATTCTCGATAATTATTATGATTACAGATTATAAAGCCGTCGGCGTCCTATCTGTGTCTGTGCTGTTGGCCATGTCCTGGAAAAAAGTTAATTATGTTTAAATATAAAAAAATTTAAACATTAATATTTAGGAATTATTTAAAAAAATAATATTTATAGAGTCCTATATTTCACATTCTGTCTTGTCTTTCGCTATTTCTTATCATCTCATCGCGTCATTTTGAATATCTCATATCTATACGTGCGCCACGTGAAAAAGAAACATACATTTTTTTGGTATTTTATATTCTATTTTGTTTTTAATTATTTATTTTTTCCAACACACTACGTATATTTATCATATTTACAATTTTTTCTTAATCCTCTTATTCTACTAATGTCTTTAGTATAATTTCCCCCCCCCTCTCTCTCTCTCTATTTTTTGTCTTTTTTCCTCCATCACTTATTCACATATACTTTCATATTTCTTAGTCTTTTCCACATATAACCTGTGTTTATCTTCTCTGTTATTCACTTTTTTTTTTATTTTTCGACGCCTACATTCCGCCAACCTTCACAATTTATTTTTGCCTAAAAATATCTCAGCATCCCTGTTGTTCTTAATACCCTATTGTACCTCAGTTCTCTCATTTTTATTTTTTCCTACCTTTATACATCTCTGTCTTTTTTCTTCTTTGCCATTTCTTCCATAATCCCCCTTTCTTTCATAATCATATATCACTTTTTCCGCTGAATAAATAATAATATTTGATATTACAATTAATTTTATCTGTTTTAATATTAATTTATCTTTTACGCCATGAGAAACAATTAATAGATTGCAGAATTTAGTTAAATGATTCTGCTTTCGCTCTATCAAAATGAAATAAGATTTTATATACCACTTCTTTTTTTTAAGTAAGTGTTAAAAGTTGGATATTATAATTTAGAAATTTTGCATACAAGTTAAAACTCATAAAAATCTATATTTCGATGTTACTTACTGCTCTGTTATATACGTCAATGTGCTTCAATATGCGCTTTCGTTGAAAACCAGAATAAACTCGGAAGGAAAATCAATAACTCGAAATATACGCAAAGTTGTGTTAAATGAAGTCGTACAAAGTGAACTTATGATTTTCTCTCTTTCTCTCTTTCTTTCTCTCCCCGTGCTCGCTCATTATTCTCTCTGCTTCGAGTTCCATCGATTTCCGTTCAGACTTTATATACTTTCTGAGCGCATAGTGTCTTGCATTATATGAAGCGACAAATAAAGAGTGGGAGGGTGAAGATTCGCTTGAGTTGTAAATTTCTTTTTCTTCGCTTTTTTTTCTTGTTTTCTCGTATCTTAAAGCGTGAGACCGTATAACCATAACCACAATCGGTGCTCTTTGTTTTCTTCGAACACGCGATTTTCACGCAGTTTGAAATTTTTTCTTATGATCCCCATTATAAATTTAATACTCGCATTTGCGTTTGAGTGTTGCTTACCCATGTTTGCTTGAATTTTTAAAGCAAATCGCTCACTCCTGCATTGGTCTGTAGGATTATTATTGATTTAAGGGATATTTTCTTAGTACCTTTTTTTTCTTACGAGAGTTATGAGTAACAGAAAAGACAGCAATTGCATATGTAATTTAAACGCACAACCGCAAATATTTAATGACTGTGAGGAAATCAAAATGTGTACTTTTATTTCGCTTTCACTTAGAATTTTTCAATTCGTACCGAGACGTTCAGTTTTACACATCGTACGATTGATCAGCTTTGTACGATTTAGTAATTGACTCTTCAGTAATATAAATTGTATATATGTTTCTGTAAAAGAAGATAAAAATACAGTAAATTAATATAACAAGTTGGAAAGGAAAAGAGTATGAAACAAACACCTACAAGCACTATCAACCGAACCGTAGAAATTCCGCTTCGCATTTTTGGTATCTGGCCAGGTTCACCGTACATTCCATTTTGTAGACTGTTTTGGACGATTGCACTCGTAGTTACTCAATCTTTACAATATCGATATATTATTTTGCACTTACACACTGCCGACCTTTCCGATTTGATGGATGGTTTAAGTGCAACCTTGAGTTTTAGCCAATTTTCTTCTAAACTCGTCATTTTCTGGTTCAATCAGCGGTAAGACATAAATAGCTATAATTTAAATGCTAGAAAGATATTAATTATATTTTTATGAAAAAAGATATATTATTTTTAATCATATCATTTATGTACAATATTATACAAATTCCTGCATATGCTCTAGAAAATTAATATTTTTTTATTATTATATTGTGATAATTGATAAAATCACTTATAGAACATTCGATAAGATACTGACAATGATGGCAATGGACTGGAAGAAAAATAGCGGTGCTGATTTTAGTACACGTGTGAGAACAAACAAAGCCGTTCTATCGCAGAATTTCGCTAAAACCGTCTTTGGTATATTTTCGATAGCCATAACATTATACACCGCTAGCGTTTTCACTTTTGATACAAGTAATCTAGAAGAGACTGACCTGTCCATGCGACCGCTTATTCTAAAGATGGACTTTCCATTCAATAGTAATACACAATTTGTTTATGGGTTGGTATTAGTTACACAATTCTTTTGCACAGTGCTATGTGGCTGCACTGTTGTCACGCTAAACGTTCTCCTCGTTGTCTTGGTAAGTTGAAATTGTCTTGAAATTATTGTTTAAAAAATTTTTTATTTAATCGTTGCGTCCACCTTAACTAATATATTGCAATGTTCTCTGGAATTATAAAATTACTGCAATTATATACAAAATATCGAGATGAAATCACACTTTCTAAACCTTTTAGGTATTACATTTAGCTGGCCAAATAGAGATTCTCGGTAGATGGTTCACAAAAATCGTTTCAGAGAAAAACGGACACAGGCTGAATCTAGCAATGATGAGGAAAATAATTGAAAAACATCAGAGTATTATTACCTTTTCAAAAAGAATTGAAAATTTATATTCCGATATTGCGTTGATTCTGTTGGTGTCAGATAGTTTGATTATGTGTTGCATCGGTTTTGTACTGGTTACGGTAAGTAATTATGATAAGTGTTTCCAGTAAGCAAAAAATATTTTGAAACATTCCAGCAACATAGCAGCAACGTCGCTAGAATGCTTCAAAATATTTCTTGCTTATTGGGTTGTTGCTGAACAACCAATAATTCAAAAAAATATTTTTAAAAAGTTTTATTTTATTTAATTTTACTTTAATTTATATAACTTTACTTATATTGGTCAACTTAATTATTTTAATATTACCATTACGTATATATTATACATATAACAAGTATTATTTTTAATATTCCTAAGTCGATTGGAAAGCCCAATGCTGCTACGATTATAATGAAGTCTCTTGGATTTTACCTTATAATGAATTTTGAGGTATTCATGTTTTGTTTTGCTGGAGAATATTTAAGCTCTAAGGTTAATTATTACCCTTAATAATATATTATTAATAAATGAACTGTTAATTTTTCTCTTCACTTAACTTTCTGACATATAGAGTAGAGCAATTGGAGACGCTGCATACGATTCCCGTTGGTATCAATGCAGATTTCAAGACAGCTGGATTATTTTATTCTTGATAATGAGATCGCAAAACCAGTTGACGATTACAGTTGGGAAATTTATGGATCTTTCCCTAGAACGATATGTCAGTGTAAGGATACTATCAAAATATTTTTGTACTGTAAAAATTAGAATTCCTTCTTAAATATATAATATGGTAAAAATATATTGTTATGTATACCATATTATATATTTACAGTCCCACACCTGTTATTTATAATAGTACAGTTTTTACAATAAATTACATTTCACATACATCTTTTACACTATCTGCATTTTTATGTATCAATTTAGTGACAAATGCATAATATTGTTATAGATTATAAAAGCTTCAGCATCTTACGTATCAGTTATGCTAGCTTTGTTAGTATATTGACAACAAAGATACGAGTACTTAACATAATAGTTATGCTATAGTAATTTATGATTGTTAAATCTGATTATTATATATAAAAAATATGCACGTATTGAATAAAAATCGCATTTTGCTAAATCAATGTAATATATTTGTTTTACTGTTATTATTTGAATGATTCGCGCAAGTGCTTATGAATGTGCGTGCAAATCAGTAATATGAATTAATTCATAACATTAATTGTAAAGTTGATATTAAATTCTCTTTATTTACCTGAGAGAGATATGTTATAAGTAACAAAGGTTCAAAGAAACATACGATCGAGTAATTCACATTTATGATACTTAATAATTTTATTTTATTTCTTAGTGTATACGTTATATTTCTATACTTTTAATTTTAGCGAGACTTTAGAGCAAGTTTAATTTCGATGTGCAATCCCCTACAATCGGTGACGTTTCATATGGTATTCTGAATTAATAAAGCAAATATGGCGCAAATGCGCAGTAACTGTCTTACGTAAAAAATATCCTTCGATGCTTTTCTTTTTCCAAAGGTGATTGTTCATGAGAAGATAAGACTTTATGATTAAATAATATTTTGTGCACAATTACCTGGCCAATTTCTTTATATTTTCCTCTCGAATGTCTTTTCTGTTCCTTAGATCTTAAGACTTCCAGGATCGCGTCTTACTAGCAGAGGTATATACATCGTATAGATTACTACATATCATTACATATTTATGCAAATTATTCGCGAGTACATAGTCTGCACTGAACAGAACGTGAGACGACTCTGACAATTCCCTTGTTTTTAAATTACAAGAGATTGCTTCTTCGTGCGCACGCAGTACGATAAAAATATTTAATGAACAACCGTCATTGGTCAATCTCCCAAGGGGCTGTTCGCTTCATGTCGTTCTTAGAATTCCGGACTTCACGCATATTTTTTACAACGTACATCAAACAGTGGAGAACATAATATCAGCCAGAGCACACATGTTTCTTATACTTAGAGAGTATTCCTAGATTTTGATGCACTGACTTGTACATAGAAAGACAAGAAGTTATGAGGAGTAATCGTACGATCAATCGCACAGTAGAAGTTATGCTCATCATGTTTGGTGTCTGGCCAGGTATATCATGCGTTATACTCTACAGAGTGTTTTGGATGATTACACTAGCAATTAATCAATTCTTCCACTACTCGTACTTTGTAACGCATTTCCATTTCGACAATCTCTTCGACTTGATGGACTGTCTGAGTAGCTTTTTGGTAACAGTAAAAGTAACTGTTAAGCTTATTATTTTTTCGTTGAAACAACGGTAAGCGACAATTAATTAATTAAATAATTCAAATTTCGTAAAAAAAAACGTGAAAATACTGCAACAGTTCTAAAATATTTGAATGTTTATAGAAAATTCGTAGAAATCTTGACAACGATGGCGGAAGACTGGAACGATTGCGATAACGATGGCGTTGCTTTACGCGAAACGGCAGGCAAAACGAAACTCTCGAGTCGTATTTGTAATGGATTAATTATTCTTCATACAATCGCCACGTTTGCATACGGCATTGGTATCCTGCTGGCCGATATCGATGTCACCGATCGAACGGCTGAACTCCCTCTCATGCTAAAAATGGAATATCCCTTCGTCATAGACACGCAACGCAAGTACAGTCTGGTATTAGTTACGCAGTTCGTTTCCGTGATGGTGTGCAGTTGGGGTGGTGGTTTATTCAACGCTCTGTTTCTAACTCTGGTAACCTGCATCTACATTAGCAAGTATCATAAGCAAAATATATTTATATTTGTAATTAATGGTCCACTGTAAATCATTAGCACAAATATTAGGATAAATTCAAGAATAAAATATTCATCAGGTTTAATTCACTCTCGTGCGGTTTATTATGTCACTTTTCATAACAAAATTTTTATTATTTAAAAGTAAAACGGATATTTGTAATCACATGATCCTAAATGACAGAATCTTTATTAGTAGACTCTACACGTGGGCAGTCAAATAAACATCCTGCTTTGCTGGTTGACGAAACTTGGATCCAAAGACATCGAAAACAAGCATGATTCATTCGTTACTGTCACGACGAAAATCATTCGAAAGCATCAAAAAATTATCAATCTTTCGGAGAACATTGAAAATCTCTATTCATACATCGCTTTGCTTCACTTCGCATTGAATATAGTGATGATTTGTTCATTAGCATTTCTTATTGTGACTGTGAGTAAAGTTCTTTAAATTTCAAATATAAAAATACACATTCAACCTTAGAATCAATTGCATTAGTTAATTTTTTATACAGTTTTTTCTGTTTCATATAAATATTATATTGCATTATTTAATTTGTTATAAATCACTATTTATAATAAATTGAAATAACTGTCCGTGTGTTTTGAATGCATTTATTTTCATTCTACATCAACATTGTAGGCAATCGGCAGTCCCGATGCCACTGAACAAATAGTGAGGTCTCTTTTATTTTACGTTGTAACGAACCTTGAAGCGTTTATATTTTGCTTCGCTGGAGAATATCTGAGCAATAAGGTTAGACAACGGAAGATTATTGTGATTGCAATAAAAGTATAGATAATCTATCGTTTTGTGGTACTGATATCATTATTATACAGAAAAATATTAAAAAATTTCTATCTTTATTATTTCTAACTTCATAGAGCAAAGCGATCGGAAATGCAGTGTACAATTCTACCTGGTACGATATGAAACCTAAGGATAGCCGTGTTCTATTATTTATAATTTTAAGATCTCAAAGACAATTGAAGCTTACGGCGGGCAAGATGACAGTTCTTTCCTTTGAGTGCTTTACAAACGTAAGATATATGTATAATAATTAAAGAAAAAAAAATTCTTGAATTTTTTATATACAAAAACTGTGAAAAACATAGTTACCCATAATATATTTTTATTATTCATCAGCGAATAATGTTATTATTGTTTGGAAAGAGATACAAACCTTTCTGGTATACTAATTTTTTATATGTATATATATATGTATTCACTTCCTTGCTTCAAAAGTGACACTATTCTACAAACTAAGTTTTCCAAAAGGAAGTATTTTTCAATTTGACAAAAAATTATTTACTAATCAAATCATATTAGCAAAGAGAGTATGTACTTTTTATCAAATTTTCTGTATTACATTAAATTTTTTATAATTTTTTGCTGTTGTAATTTTGACAACTTTAACAAATCCGCCCTTTTTGAATTCTAACGATTTTGACGATTTTTTAAAATGAAATCAAGTTAGATCACATTTAATAAAGAATAGCATACTGTTTACTAAACTCATTCATAATAACTCAAAAATCACATTTCTGAGTTGTGCATCTATTGAAATAAAATAACGATATGTACGATAATAAATGCATATACATTTTTCTTCATCACTGATGGTATTAACATTGTTATAGATTATGAAGGCTTCAGGATCGTATTTATCGGTACTACTGGCAATGAAATAAACGTCGCAGTATCTCTTACGTAACTAATTCCTTAAGTGACAGTCGCCTGAAGTAACAAATCAAGTGATCAAATAAATATCGACGATTTTAATTAGAAAAATTAGAACATAATGTACATGTACATATAAATATATGTTAACATATACATAGTAAACATTTTCTAAATATATACTTTTATACCAACGCAATATAATTATTAAGTGTATATAGAAAATTGTAACACAGAAATCATGATATTTCTTTCGTTAGTGTGAGAAATATGTGTTCTGACATGGTTTCTATTTAGAACACACAACTGCTCAGTCCTTTAACATACCTTCGTATATAAAGCACTATATTGTATACCATTCTCACACCAATTATTTGGTGTGAGACGTACGCAGTTTATAACACTTGTTGATTACTTGTAAAATACCAGCGTACACAAATACGCTGCAAACAACTTTGTGCATTCGAAAATACTTATATATCAGCACTGCACTTGAGTTTCTTTGCTGCTTATCTACTGCTTTGATGCATGAATTTCAAAACTTTTCCGGAATGTACGCTGAAGCGTGACTCAGAATCACGTCAGATGCGTGCGTCGTCGCGTTCATGTTCGCACGAATTATTGCGTATTTAAACTGTATAATATGCTATTACATTATCAGTATCTAAGGAAAGAAGAAATGAACCTACGTATTCTCTTTCTTCTTATATCGACATTGTGAAAAGCTACGGTAAGTGTATGCGAACAAGAGCTGCATGATGAAAATATTTAATGAGATACTCTCATTGGTCGATAATAGTAAAGAGCGTCTACTTGATGATCTCGAAGGACCTCCCAGTCTTTATGAAGTTATTCTAGAATATACATCAAGTTCTGATTAGAAAATATTGAATACTGAACAAGAGAGAAAAATAGAGGAAGTGAGCACACGGTTCTTTTACCTCCCTGAAATAGCGTCTGTCCTACGTATAAACTGATGTTTTTCCTCGCTTAAAAACGAAAGCGGAGAGAAATAAAGGATTATAACGCGTAAAAGTACAATCGTACGTTAAAGTTAACGCTCACTCTGTGCCGTAATATGGCCAGGCACAACGTGTGTTATAATCTGCAGGACGTATTGGATTATCGCATTAGTAAAAGATGATATTTGTCACTGCCATTATCTTTTAATGCATTTGCATTCTAACAATCTTTGGCTTGATGGATTGTTTTAGTAGTTTCTTATGACAAGTAAAATTGGCAACTAAGTTGATTATATTCTGGCTGAATGAACAATAAGTATAAATACTACACAGTAAATAATTTGCATATGCAGGGTGTCCCAAAATTCGCGCATTTGGAATATAGAATATGATATTATATGGTAAAACAAACAACTATTTCCTCTAGCAAAATTGCGGCCGATAAATAATTTTTGCGTTTATTTGTTAACTTTAACCTGCTCTCCTGCAAAAACTACTTATCGAACGCAATTTTGCTAAAGGAAAAAGTTGTTTTTTCTGCTAAAACAAATAATCTTTGTTTTATTCCAACAGTAAAATTACATTCGATAAATAATTTTGTCGTTTACTCGTATAACTTCAACCTGCTTTCCTGCAAAAACTACTTATCAGACACAATTGTGCAAAAGGAAAAGGTTGTTTGTTTTAGTATAAAGTATCGTGTTCTGTATTCCGAATGCGCGAATTTTAGGATACTTCGTATATTACCCAAAGTTAATTCCATTATTATCTGTTATTAACAGATCTATAATATATTTATTACACAATCAATACATATTTAGATAAATAAATAAATAAAATATTCAATAACCATTACTTGTTATATACAAACATTAGTTTTTTCAAATTTTTGACGAAATGCATGTAAACAAATTTTGTACACATTTTATTTTGCCAAAATGTAAAAAGAATGAGAAAACTAAAATATTATTTTAAAAAAGTAATACAAATAAATAAAAATATGCTTACATAACTATATGTAATAATACTTTATACAATAATACTATATACTTCTCTAAATATACAAACTTTTGTGTCTTACATTTTTTCCATAGCTGGCAGAGTAATCAAATTAATAATTCGTAGAAAATTCTTCGAGATCTTGACGGTGATGGCAGAAGACTGGAACGATTGTACTGGCAGTAACATCAATATACGCGAAACGGCGTGCAAACCTAAATTATTGGGTCGTATCACTAATGCGATGTTCACTCTTCATACGTTAAGTATTATTGGGTATAGTATTGGCGTTCTCTTGGCTGATGACGTCACTAAGAAATCCGAACTACCTTTCCTCTTAAAGGTGGAGCTTCCTGTCAACATAAACACAAAACGCGCGTACAAAATGCTCTTGACCATGCAATTCGTACATCTCATCACGTGCAGCTGTGGAACGGATATATTGAATGCCTTGTTTTTAACTTTGGTAAGTTGCAGCGCTTGCGAAATATACTTCTCATAAGTAATACATATTAATAATTATAAAAATAATTGCTAATCAATATTATTTTAAACAATATTTTTTTCGTTATTTAATGTATTAATTTGATTGATAGACATTATGTACGATTTTTCTAGACTTTACATGTAGGTGGTCAGATGGATATACTACGTTGCTGATTAAATGAGCTTGTGATACGAGGAAATGAAGGATGCGAATCTATCGCGGTTACGACGACCAGAATTATTCGCAAGCATCAAAGAGTCATTAATTTCTCCGAACACATTGAGGATTTATGTACATACATTGCGTTAGTGCAATTTACAACGAACAGTATCCAGATTTGCTCTTTGGGATTTCTCATTGTAACGGCAAGTGAAAACATTAAGTATTACACATAATAATAAATATTACATTTTATAAAATTATAAACGTAAATTTTTATTGCAAAATAAGCTTTTTGCGATTAGTTAGAGTGACGTAGGAATCTATTTATAATTTTGAAACATATTTAATAATTGCTAGTTTAATATTGCAAACAATTGGCCAGTCCCAATGCAACGGAGCACATAGTGCGATCTCTTTTATTTTACACCGTGACGAATCTTGAAGCATTTATATTTTGTTACGCAAGAGAATATATGAAAAACAATGTTAGGCATGAAGAAATAATTATACCAATAATTAATAACGATTATTTTGAGATTGTTAAAAAAGAAATTATAATACATATTAGGGTAATCTCTTTAACGATTTTCAACTTTTTAGAGTAAAGCTGTTGGAAATGCGGCGTACAATTCCGCCTGATATGAAATGAAACCTAAAAACAGCCGCAATTTAATATTCGTGATATTAAGAGCGCAAAAGCAATTGACCTAAGTCCCTTAGATTTTAACTAATGATGAATTTTGAGGTATTCATGTTTTGTTTTACTGCAGAATATTTAAGCCCTAAGGTTAGTATTAACGTCTATAATGTATTATTAATGAATTAAGTGTTAATTTTTCTCTTTGTTTAACTCTCTGGTATATAGAGCAGAGAAATTGGAGACGCTGCATACGATTCCCGTTGGTATCAATGCAGATTTCAAGACAGCTGGATTATTTTATTCTTGATAATGAGATCGCAAAACCAGTTGACGATTACAGTTGGGAAATTTATGGATCTTTCCCTAGAACGATATGTCAGTGTAAGGATACTATCAAAATATTTTTGTACTGTAAAAATTAGAATTCCTTCTTAAATATATAATATGGTAAAAATATATTGTTATGTGTACCATATTATATATTTACAGTCCCACACCTGTTATTTATAATAGTACAGTTCTTACAATAAATTACATTTCACACACATCTTTTACACTACCTGCATTTTTATGTATTAATTTAGTGACAAATGCATAATACTGGTATAGATTGTAAAAGCTTCAGCATCTTACGTATCAGTTATGCTAGCGGTATATTGACAACAAAGCCACGAGTGCTTAACATTAATTCTATGATATAGTAATTTATGATTGTTAAATCTGATTAGTATACATATATAAAGAATATGCCCGTATTGAATAAAAATCGTATTTTGTTGAATCACCGTAAAATTTGTTTTATTATTATTATTCGAATGATTCGCGCAAGTGCTTATAAATGTGCGTGCAAATCAGTAATATGAATTAATTCATAATGTTAATTGTAAAATTGATATTAAATTCTCTTTATTTATCTGAGAAAGATATGTTACAGGTAACTAAGATTCAAAGAACTGTACGATCGAGTAATTCACATATATGATACTTATTTATTTTATTTTATTTCTTTGTGTCTCTCTTATACTTCTATATTTTTAATTTTACCGGGACTTTAGAGCAAGTTTGATTTCGGTGTGCAATCGCCTACAATCCGTGACGTTCCATACGTCACCCTGAATTATTAAAGCAAACACGTTACGTATGCGCAGTAATAATCTTGTGTGAAAAATATTCTTCGACAAGTGGTTTTCTTTCTTCAAAGGTGATTGTTTGTGAGAAGTTAAGACTCTATAACTAAATAATATTTTGTGCACAATTACTTGGCCAATTTCTTTATATTTTCCTCTCGAATGTCTTTTCTGTCTATTAGATCGACTTTTCTAAGATCGCATCTTGCTGGCAAAGGTATATACATCGTATAGATTACTACATATCATTACATATTTATGCAAATTATTCGCGAGTACATCGTCTACACTGAACAAAACGTGAGACGACGATTTCCTTTTTTTTAAATTACTTACAAGAGATTGCTTCTTCGTGCGCACGCAGTGCAATAAAAATATTTAATGAACAACCGTCATTGGTCAATCTCCCAAGAGCTGTTCGCTTCATTAGAAGCGTCGTCGTTCTTAGAATTTTAGTCTTCACGTAAATTTTCTACAACTTACATCAAGCTGTGGAGAACATAATTTCAGCCAGAACACACGTGTTTCTTATACTTTGAGAGTTTTCCTAGATTTTGATGCACTGGCTTCTACACAGCAACTCTAGAAAAAAACAAGAAATTATGAGGAGTAATCGTACGATCAATCGCACAGTAGAACTTATGCTCACCATGTTCGGTGTCTGGCCAGGTATATCATGCGTTATACTCTACAGAGTCTTTTGGATGATTACGCTGTCAATTAGTCAATTCTTCCACTGCTCGTACTTTGTAACGCACTTTCATTTCGACAATCTTTTCGACTTGATGGACTGTCTGAGTAGCTTTTTGGCGCATGTAAAACTAACCGTTAAACTTATTATTTTCTCGTTGAAACAACGGTAAGCGACAATTAATCAATTACATAATTAAAATTTTGTTAACAAAATAACGTGAAAATATGCTGCAATCGTTCTAAAATATCCGGTTGTTTATAGAAAATTCATAGAAATCTTGACAACGATGACGGAAGACTGGACCGATTGCGATAACGATGGCGTTGCGTTATGCGAAACGGCAGGCAAAACGAAACTATCGAGTCGTATTTGTAATGGATTAATTATTCTTCATACAATCGGCGCGTTTTCATATGTCATTGGTATCCTGCTGGCCGATGTCGATGTCACCGATCGAACGGTTGAACTCCCTCTCATGATGAAAATGGAATATCCCTTCGTTATAGACACGCAACGCAAGTACAGTCTGGTATTAGTTACGCAGTTCGTTTTCGTGATGGTGTGCAGTTGGGGAGCTGGTTTATTCAACGCTCTGTTTCTAACTCTGGTAACCTGCACCTACATAAGCAAGTATCATAAGCAAAATATGGTTATATTTGTAATTAATAGCCCACTGTAAATCATTTTCATAAATATTAGGATAAATTCGAGAATAAAATATTCATCAGGTTTAATTCACTCTCGTGCGGTTTATTATGTCACTTTTCATAACAAAATTTTTATTATTTAAAAGTAAAACAAATAATTGTAATCACATGGTTCTAAATGACAGAATCTTTATTAGTAGACTCTACACGTAGGCAGTCAAATAAACATCCTGCTTTGCTGGTTATCGAAACTTGAATCCAAAGACATCGAAAACAAGCATGATTCGTTTGTTACTGTTACGACGAAAATCATTCGAAAGCATCAAAAAGTTATCAATCTTTCGGAGAACGTTGAAAATCTCTATACATACATCGCTTTGCTTCAATTTACATCAAATATAGTAATGATTTGCTCATTAGCATTTCTTATTGTGACTGTGAGTAAAGTTCTTTAAATTTCAAATATAAAAATACACATTCAACCTTAGAATCAATTGCATTAGTTAATTTTTTATACAGTCTTTTATGTTTCATATAAATATTATATTGCATTGTTTAATTTGTTATAAATCACTATTTATAATAAATTGAAATAACTGTCCGTGTGTTTTGAATGCGTTAATTTTCATTCTACATCATTGTAGGCAATCGGCAGTCCCGATTCCACTGAACAAATATTGAGGTCTCTTTTATTTTACGCTCTAACGAATCTCGAAGCGTTTATATTTTGCTTCGCTGGAGAATATCTGAACAATAAGGTTAGCAAAGGAAGATTATTGTGATTGCAATAAAAGGGTAGTATAGATAATCTAGCGTTTTGTGTTATTGATATCAATGTCATGGAGAGAAATACTAAAAGATCTCAATTTTTATTATTTCTATCTTTATAGAGCAAAGCGATCGGAAATGCAGCGTACAATTCTACCTGGTACGATATGAAAACTAAGGACAGTCGTGTTCTATTATTTATAATTTTAAGATCTCAAAGACAATTGAAGCTTACAGCGGGCAAGATGACAGTTCTTTCCTTTGAGTGCTTTACAAATGTAAGATATATGTATCACAATTAAAGAAAAAAAAATTCTTAATTTTTTGATATACAATGACAATTACATATAATATATTTTTGTTATCCATCAGCGAATAATATTATTATTATTCAGAGAGAGATAGAAACTTTTCAGTTGTACTAATTTTTTGTATATGTATAGATGTATCACTTCCTTACATCAAAAGTGAAATAAGTCAACAAATTAAGTTATCCAAAAAGGAAATATTTTTTAACTTGATAGTAAATTATTCACTAATCAAATCATATCGGCAAAAATATATGCATCTAATTGTTCAAACTTTCTATATTAAATTAAATTCTTTATGATAACAGTTGTAATTTTCACAACCATTGAGAATATACGTTTTTGAATTGTAACGGTTTTGACGGTTTTTTTATGAAATTAAGTTAGATCACTTTTAATAAATGAAAGCATAATGTTTACTCAGCTCTTTCATAATAATTCGAAAATTACATTTCTGAGATGTACATGTTTTTAAATAAAACAAAGATACGTCTGATAATAATGCATACATATTTTTCTTCGTCACTGATGATATTCACATTGTTTTAGATTATGAAGGCTTCAGGATCGTATTTATCGGTACTGCTGGCAATGAAATAAATGTCGCCGTTATGTAACTAATTTCTTAAGTGACAGTCGCCTGAATTTACACCAAGCGATCAAACAAAGATCGACGTTTTTAATTAGAAAAATTAGAACATAATGTATATGTACATATAAATATTAATATATACATAGTAAACATTTTATAAATATATATTTGTAGACCAATGCAAAATAATTATTAACTGTATATAAAAAATGGTACACAGAAAGCATGATATTTTTTTCATCATTGTGAGAAAAATGATGTGTTCTCACATAGAGTTACCATTTAGAACACACAACTCCTCAATCTTTTAACATATACTTTCGTATATGAATCATAAATTGTACCATCCTCACAACTATTGTTACTTACGCAGTTTATACATTTGTTGATTTCTTGTAAACATCAGCGCAAACAGATATGTTGCAAATTGCTTTGTGCATTCAAAAATACTTGTACATTAGCACTGCACTTGAGTTTCTTTGCTGCTTTTTTGCTGCTCTGGTGCATGAATTTCAAAACTTTTCCAGAGTGTACGCTGAAGTGCGACTGACCGTCAGATGCGTGCACCGTCGCGTTCATGTTCGCACGAATCATTGCATATTTAAACAGTACAATATGCGATTACATTACCCAATGGAAGGAGAAATAAACCTACGTATTCTCTTTCTCTACTTATATCGATATTGTGAAAAGCTACGGTAAGTGTATGCGAGCGAGGGCTGCATGGTGAAAATATTTAATGAGATACTCTCATTGGTTGATAATAGTAGAGTGCGCCCATTTGATGATCTCGAAGGACCTCCCAGTCTTTATGAAGTTATTCTAGAATATACATCGAGTTTTCATTGGGAAATACTGAGTGGGAAATATTCAATTTAATAAGAGAAAAAAATACAGAAAGAAAGACCACAATTCTTTTACCTCCCTGAAAGAGTGTTTGACCTATGTGTATAAACAGATGTTTTTCCTTGCTTAAAAACGAAAGCGAAGAGAAATAAGGGATTATGATGCGTAAAAGTACAATTAATCGTACGTTAAAGTTAACGCTTACTCTGTGCGGTATATGGCCAGGCACAACGTGTGTTATAATCTGCAGAGCGTATTGGATTATCGCATTAGTAATAGATGATATTTGTCACTGCCGTTATCTTTTAATGCATTTGCATTCTAAAGATATTTTCGACCTGATGGACTGTTTCAGTAGTTTCTTAACACAAATAAAATTGACAACTAAGTTGATTATATTCTGGCTGAATGAACGGTAAGTATAAATGTTACACGATAAATAATTTGCATATATATTACCAGAAGTTAATTCCATAATTTTCTGTCTTTCTATATTTATAACAATTAATATATATTTAGATAATCAAATAAATAAGATATTACTAATCATTATTTGTTATATACAAATATTTGTTTTTCTTAAATTTCTGACAAACAGCGTGTAAAAAATTTTTTTGCACATTTTATTTTGCCAAGACCTAAAAAGAATAGGAAAGTTAAAATATCATTTAAAGAATGTAATGCATAAATAAAATTACGTTTACATAATTATATGTAATGCTACTTAATACAATAGTACTACATACTTTTCTAAATATACAAGCTTTTGTGTCTTACATTTCTCTCATAGCCAGCAGAGTAATCAAATTAATAATTCGTAGAAAATTGTTTGAGATCTTGACAATGATGGCAGAAGACTGGAATGATTGCACTGGCAATAATATCAATATACGCGAAACGGCGTGTAAAGCTAAATTATCGGATCGTATCGCTAATACGATATTCATTCTTCATACGTTAAGTGTTCTTGCGTATAGTATTGGCATTCTCTTGGCTGATGTCGACGTCACCGAGCATTCCGAACTACCTCTCCTCTTCAAGGTGGAGCTTCCTGTCAACATAAACACAAAACGCGCATATAAAATGCTCTTGACCATGCAATTCGTACATATCATCATGTGTGCCTGAGGAATGGGTATAATGAATGCCTTGCTCTTAAGTTTGGTAAGTTGCAGTGCTGTCGAAATATACTTCTCATAAGTAATACATATTAATAATTATAAAAATAATTGCTAATCAATATTGTCTTAAACAACATTTTTTTCGTTATTTAATGTATTAATTTGATTGATAGACACAATGTATGATTTTTATTTCTAGACTTTACATGTGGGTGGTCAGATGGATATTCTACGTTGCTGGTTAAATGAACTTGTGATACGAGGAAATGAAGGATGCGAGTCTGTCGCGGTCACGACGACCAAAATTATTCGTAAGCATCAAAGAATCATTAATTTTTCGGAATACATTGAGGATTTATATACATACATCGCGTTAGTGCAATTTACAATGAACAGTGTCCTGATTTGCTCTTTGGGATTTCTCATTGTAACGGCGAGTAAAAACATTAAGTATTAACATAATAATAAATATTATATTTTATAAAATTAAACGTAAATTTTTATTACAATATAAGCTCTTTGCGATTAGTTAGAGAGACGTAGATATCTATTCATAATTTTGGAACATATTTAATAATTGCTACTTTAATATTGCAGGCTATTGGCAGTCCCGATGCAACGGAGCACATAGTGCGATCTCTTTTGTTTTACACCGTGACGAATCTCGAAGCATTTATATTTTGTTACGCAGGAGAATATATGAAAAACAAGGTTAGGAATAAGGAAATAATTGTGACAATAATCAATAATTATTTTAAGATTGTTCAAAAAGAAATTATAATATTAGGACAATTTCTTTTAACGATTTTCACCTTTTTAGAGTAAAGCTGTCGGAAATGCGGCGTACAATTCCGCCTGGTACGAAATGAAACCTAAAAATAGCCGTACTTTAATATTCGTGATATTAAGAGCGCAAAAGCAATTGACACTTACAGTTGGAAAAATAATGGATCTCTCCTTAGAATCTTTTACTAGTGTAAGTCTTATACGTAGCACACAAAATAATTTTGAACAATAATTGTATACATAGGGTCAACCGGAGTAATGACGAAAAATCGCAAAGTTGGAATTCAACAACATTTTCTTAAGTTTTATTATTTGTATTTAATTCTTGTTCAAATAATTATTTTAAAGGTTCTGTTATTAATAGGACGATATTAGTAACCGAAATTATTTCTTGTTTACGTATAAAAATTTACGTATAATAAATTTTTTAATCCCCTTCAAAAATCACTTATTACCTTATATCATGGGGTAATATATGTATAACGATCTAAGGGATGATTGTGACAATGACAATTATTGAGATATAAATCAAATCTATTTACAAGGAATGAATAAAATAGCATTAATAGTAATTTTAAAATGCAAACAGTATTCATTTTTATTATTAAAATATGTATTATCAACACACAAAAATGAACATGTCTTTTTAACATTTATCATCTTTTCGTTTTTTATATATAGGTTAGCAAAGATATATGAATGTTTCTCTTATCACAAATAAAACTTTCCCTTCGGAATATAGTTTCGTGGTATGATCTGTATAATAATTAAGTATTTGTGCTAACAAACCTTATAATACGTCACAAAATTATTTATTTTATGCAAGATTGAAAGTTAAAGACAAAATGACATTGAGAGTTCAGAAAAAATAACAAAAAAATGTTTAAAGTTTGTTTTCTTGTTTATAACCTCAAAATTGTTACAAATTATTGACATACAATTAATATTCATTTGATAATATTAACAGATTGCGCATGTATATTGTTGTACAAATGTAGTGTTATTGTTCAAAGTATGATGTTTGAATTGTACTTACGTAAAATTATTAATAAATGCACAGTCGTCAATATTTTGGCGTCACATTCATGAAAACGATTACGCTATTACTTAACGCAATCGCGCGCGAAGTATCACCGTTTTCTCGATACTTATCGTCAAAATTACCCCGTACATTGAATTAGAGTAAAGTAATTGTCATGTTCAATTGTATGCCTATACTATTAATTGTACTATTATCTTGACATAACGTTAATTTAGAATCATTGTAATCTTAAAGTAATTAATATTTAAAATTATTTCATTTGGGGAAAAGAATTGACTTTAAATAGATATTCGCAAATTTTGATAACCTAACTTTTTTACAACGCTCCACGGATTCGATAATTATAATAAAATGAAATTTTTTACTTAGGAAAACTTGAGTCAAACATCTTTGAACATAAAATAATATAAAATATAAAGTTTTTTTTATTTTAACGCATAAACCTATAATAAGCATCGTCGCAATTACCTCGCCATCACAGCTATCTCGGTTAACCCTATATTAGTATAAAATAATTTTATATAAAATTTACTTTTCGTCTAAATTTTTTTTGCCAATCCATTAAGTTTGTACATTTTTTTTACCAGTACTTAAGACGTATTTTTCTTGGTAACAAAATCATAATCTTCTAAAATATTAATTTCCAATTCATATTTTATGGCTAACAAAAAGTTCATATTTTATTATAGATCATGAAAGCATCAGGATCATATTTATCAGTACTGCTGGCTATGCAATAAACATGTCGCATACTTGAAGATTTTTATATAATAGTCGTGAAGCGATATATCGTATAAATATAAATATATCTTCACTAGTGATAGAGATGCATATAGTACAACATATATTTTCGTAGCCTAAATAGTAGTATAATTTGGAATATTTTAAAACGTAGTAATCTCTACAGAAGATTATAAAATAAATCATTTTTTAAATGTTATCAAGTATATTAAACTCTATTTCCTAAGAATTGTAAAATAATCATGTTATATTATATTATATTATGTCGATATTTTAAGTCAATATATGTTTAGTCAATAATCAAAATTAAATTAATGAAAAATATAGCAATCTGATATGACTGTGTGACTTGTGTGTCCATGTCCAGTTTTACACACATTTCCATTTTTAGAGAAAATATTTAAAAAGATAATATTAAATAATTACATATATATATATACATTTCTCGTTATAAAAGAATAACGCTAAAATTATTTTAAAAAATATAATGTAGCAGGTTTTAATCTCAAAGACAATTGAAGTTTATGGCAGGCAAGATGACAGTCCTTTCCTTTGAGTGCTTTACAAATGTAAGACATATATAGGTATAATAATTGAAGAAATAACATATCTTGACTTTTTATATACAATATCATAGTTATCCATATTTTTGTTATCTATTAGCGAATAATATTATTATTGTCCAGAAAAAGATAAAAACTTTTTTGTTATATAAACATCTTATATGTATAGACTTATTGCTTTCTTACTTCAAAAGTAATAACTCGATAAATTAAAATTTTCAACAAAAAAATATTTTTTAAATTAACAGAAAATTATTAGGTAACTAATAATCAAACTAGTAATCAAATCAATTATATCGGCAAAAAGAGTATATATTCTTAACTGTTCAATTTTTTTTTGTATTCAATTAGATTTAATATAATTTGTTACTGTTGTAATTTTCACAACCTTTAAAAATTCACCCTTTTTAAATTGTGACAATTTTCATGATTATTTAAATGAAGTCAAGTTAGATTACATTTAATAAATAATAGCGTAATATTTACTGAACTCATTCATAATAATCCGAAAATCACATTTCTGAGTTATGTCACTTCTGAAATACAACGACGATATGTCTGGTAATAATGCATATATATTTTTCTTTATCACTGATAGTATTAACATTGTTATAGATTATGAAGGCTTCGAGATCGTATTTATCGGTACTATAATTGGCAATGAAATAAACCAGGCATTAATACCCATTGTGTAACTAATTTCTTAAGTGACAGTCGCCTGAAGTAACAAATCAAGTGATCAAATAAAGATCGACTTTTTTAATTAGAAAATTAAAACATAATCTAACATGTACATATAAATATACATAATATAAATATATACATAGTAAATATTTTCGTAATATATACCTTTATACCAACGTATAAAATTATTAACTGTATATAGAAAACTGTAACACAGAAATCGTGATATTTCCTTCATTAGTTTGAGAAAAATTATGTGTTCTTACTATGGTTTCTATTTGGGACACATAACTCCTCAGTTCTTCAAACGTACCTTCGTATTTGAAACATTATATTGTATCATTCTCACACCTATTGTTACTTATGCATTCTATGCACTTGTTGATTTCTTGTAAAACATCAGTGCACACAGATACGCTGCAAATTGCTTTGTACATTCGAAAATACTTATATATTAGCACTGCACTTGGGTTTCTTTGCTGCTTTTCTGCTGCTTTGGTGTATGAATTTCAAAACTTTTCCGCAGTGTGCGCTGAAGTGCGACTGACCGTCAGATGCGTGCGTCGTCGCGTTCATGTTCGTATGAATCATTACATATTTGAACTGGATAATATGCTATTACATTACCAGCACCCAAGGGAAGGAGAAATCACCCTACTATTCTCTCTCTTCTTATATCGATGTTGTGAAAAGCTACGGTAAGTGTATCGAGTAAGGGCTGCATGTGGTATGATAAAAATATTTAATGAGATATTCTTATTGGCCGATCAAGGTAGAGAGCGCCCATTGATGATCTCGTAGGACCTTCCAGTCTTTATGAAGTTATTCTAGAATATACATCGAGTTCTCATTGGAAAATACTGAGTGAAAAATATTTAATATTGAACAAGAAAAAAAATAGTGGAAGAGAGAACGCAGTTCTTTTACCCCTCGGAAAGAGCATCTGTCCTACGTATAAACTGATGTTTTTCCTCGCCTAAAAACGAAAGCGAAAAGAAATAAGGAATTATGACGCGTAAAAGCACAATTAATCGTACGTTAAAATTAATGCTTACTCTGTGCGGTGTATGGCCAGGCACAACGTGTGTTATAATCTGCAGGGCGTATTGGATTATCGCATTAACAATAGATGAAATTTGTCACTGCCGTTATCTTTTAATTCATTTGCATTCTAAAGACATTTTCGACCTGATGGACTGTTTCAGTAGTTTCCTAACGCAAGTAAAATTTTCAATTAAACTGATTATATTCTGGCTGAATGAACGGTAAGTACAATGCTACAGTAAATAATTAGCATATGTGTTACCTAAAGTTATTTCCATTATTTTCTGTCATTACTTTCTATATTTAGTACAATTAATATATATTTAGATAAACAAATAAATAAAATATTTAATAATCATTATTTGTTATACGCAAATATTTGTTTTTTTAAATTTTTGACAATAAGTGTGTAAAAAATGTTTGTACCCATTTTATTTTGCCAAAATGTAAATAAGAACGGAAAGTTAAAGTATCACTTAAAGAAAATAATACATAAATAAAAATACGTTTGATATATTAAAAAAAATTATTTAATATTTATAAAAATACTTTATACAGTATACTTCTCTAAATACACAGGCTTCTGTGTCTTACATTTCTCCCATAGCCGAATAATCAAGTTAATAATTCGTAGAAAATTCTTTGAAATCTTGACGATAATGGCAGAGGACTGGAACGATTGCGCTAGCAGTAATATCAATATGCGCGAAACAGCTTGCAAAGCTAAATTAGCAGATCGTATCACTAATGCAATGTTCACTCTTCATACGTTAACTATTGTTGCGTATAGTATTGGCGTTCTCTTGGCTGACGTCGACGTCACCGAGCAATCCGAACTACCTCTTCTCTTAAAGGTAGAGCTTCCTGTCAACATAAACACAAAACGCATGTATAAAATGCTTCTGACTATGCAATTTGTGCATCTCATCATGTCCGGCTGCGGAACAGGTCTATTGAATGCTTTGCTCTTAACTTTGGTAAGTAAGTTGCAACGCGTGCGAAATATACATGTCATAAATAATACATAATGGTAATTATAAAAATAATTGCAATATTGTCTTTTAACGGTTTTTTGGCTATTTAATGCATTAATTTGATTGATAGACATAATATATGATTTTTCTTTCTAGACTTTACATGTAGGTGGTCAGATGGATATTTTGCGATGCTGGTTAAGTGAACTTGTACCACGAAAAAATGAAGGATCCGAGACTGTCGCCGTCACGACAAATAGAATTATTCGCAAGCATCAAAGAATCATTAATTTTTCGGAATATATTGAGGATTTATATACATACATCGCGTTAGTGCAATTTACATCGAACACTGTGCTGATTTGCTCTTTGGGATTTCTTATTGTAACGGCGAGTGAAAACATTAAGTATTACACATAATAATGACTACTGCATTTTATAAAATTAAACGTTAATTTTTGTTGCAAAATCAATTTTTTGCTACTCGTTAGGATAACGCAGAAGGTACTATTTATAATTTTGGAATGCATTTAATAATTGCTACTTTAATAATGCAGGCAATTGGCAGTCCCGATGCAACGGAGCACATAGTGCGATCTCTTTTGTTTTACACCGTGACGAATCTCGAAGCATTTATATTTTGTTACGCAGGAGAATATATAAAAAACAAGGTTAGAGATGAGAAAATAATTATAAAAATAATTATTATTTTGAGACTGTTGAAAGAAGAAATTTTAATACATATTATGGCAACCTCTTTTAACAATTTCCAACTTTCTTCAGAGTAAAGCTATCGGAAATGCGGCGTACAATTCCGCCTGGTATGAAATGAAGCCTAAAAACAGCCGTAATTTAATATTCGTGATATTAAGAGCTCAAAAGCAATTGACACTTACGGTTGGAAAAATAATGGATCTCTCCTTAGAATCATTTACAAGTGTAAGACTCATACGTAGCACACAAAATAATTTTGGACAATAATTATATACGTAATATTTGTATCAAAATACTTTCTATATAAAATTTACTTTTTGTCTACCTAATTTTTTTTCTGCCAATCCATTAAGTTTGTAAATTTTTTATAGCAATATTTAAAACGTTTCTTGGTGACAAAATCATAATCTTCTGAAATATTAATTTCTAATACAAAAAGATCATACTTTATTATAGATTATGAAAGCATCAGGATCATATTTGTCAGTATTGCTGGCTATGCAATAATCACGTCACATATTTGAAGATTTGTATATAGTAGTCGTGAAGTATATATCATAAATATATTTCACTAGTGATGCGTATAGTACAATATATATTTTCATGGCCTAAATAGTAGTATAATTTAGATACTTTAAAATCGTAGTAATCTACAAAAGAATTTAAAATAAGTCATTTTTTTAATGTTATGAGAGTACCTTAGATTTCTATTTCCTAAGAATTGTAAGATAATTATATTATATTATGTCATATCGTTAATATTTTTAGTCAATAATCAAAATCGAATTAATGAAAAATACGGTGATCTGATGTGACTTTTGTGTCTTCCATATCCAGTTTTACACACATTTACATTTTTAAAGAAAATATTAAATAAAATAATAAAATAATTAGATATACATACACTTCTCGTTATAAAAAGATAAAATTATTTACACTAAAATTATTTACAAAAGATATAATGTAGCGAGTTGACGACATTATATCATTTAATCCGTTTGAATATTTATTTGTGTAAATTCTGATTGATATATATGTGATATATTATTTCACATACCTTTTCAGATACAAATCAATGCATTTGTTAATCTTAATTGTATTTTATCCATACCTACGTTTCTATAATACAAAATCACTTTTAGCTATTTTATGCAAATTAATGTAACATTTTGTAGTATTGCATATAGTTGCCTGTTTATTCACCCTTTAGAGATTAGGACTTTTCTAAAACATCGTGGTCACGATTGATCATCGGACATATACATCGTATCTACGTCCGCACGTATCGTTACATATTTAAAGTGAACAATTTACGATTGTAGTACAAACGCACAAGATAGAGGGGAAAAAAACCTCACGTATCTTTCCGTTTCTTACATTGAATAAATGAAAAACCACAATAAAATGTATTCGCAGTCTATGCACTCGGCACGATGAAAATATTTAATGAGTAACTCCAATTACGATCAATTGCTGATGGTTGAATCTATTTCTTTGAAACTTCCAGTTTTCTTCATGCATGCATTCTACAATACGTAGAAGCGCATGCGTTTGATCTCAGAATATATTTCTTTTATCTACCTGAGGTTTTTTGTTCTATTGTACGCACCTTGATGAATTCGCTGTGCACAACGGAGAATAAAAAGAAATAAGAAATTATGACTCGTAAAAGTACGCTTAACCGCACGTTGAAATTTATGCTCGCTTTGTGTGGTATTTGGCCGGGCCCATCGTATGTTCTACCTTGTAGAATACTTTGGATCGTTTCATTGACAGTTACCCTATTCTGTCACTACCGTTATTTTCTGACACATGTACATTCTGCCGAAATATTAGATTTAATGGATTGTCTGTCCAGTTTCCTAGCATATTCCAAAATTATTATTAAGTTTCTTGTGTTTTGGTTAAATGAGCGGTAAGTAATATTATTTAATTTGTATACAATGTCAAAAGCATTAGATAAAAATATTACAATCAATGTCATTATAATTATTCATGTCAAAGCTTTAGCGAAAGATATATATTGTTATTTCAAAATTACAATCTTACAGAAAATTTATTTATACAATAGCTTTCTCTTTAAAAGTAAAATTGCAAATAATATTATTATGTAATCACCAAACATTCTTTTTAAAACATTATATGTGCATTTCATAATAATTCGACCAGCTCCAGGTAAGAAAATATTATAAAGCGCTCTAATTAAAAAATATAGTTCCAATATTTTTTCTTTATATAATATCAATATATAATTATATTCATTGTATTAATAATTTATAAACAAAAATTGTTGGTGAATAAAAATAACAAATCTTTATTTGTTAATTATTTGATCATTTAAGTGTCTAGACATTTACATGACGATAATTAAGATTATCTTGAGATAGTACGATTAATAAAAGCAATTATTTACAGAAAATTCGATGAAATTTTGACAGTGATGGCAGAAGATTGGAATGATTGCGCTAATAGTGACATTAGCATACGTGAGACAACACGCAAGGCGAAAATATCGGATCGTATTACAAACGCGATCATCACCCTTCATACGACGACAGTTGTTGCATATTGCATTGGTATCATCTTAGCTGATGTCGATGTCACTGACACTACGAAAGAATTACCTTTAGTCAATAAGATAGAAATTCCTTTCGACATAAACACTCAATTTAGGTACAGAACTGTTTTAATCACGGAATTTTTACTTATGATTCTTTGCGGATGGGCGGCTGGTATAACAAACTCTTTATTATTAACACTGGTAAGTTAAAAATTTTTTATCCATGCAAATTGTATCTAATTAAAATTATAATACGCGTTTAAATTCCAACGTAAAAGATGCAAAAATTAAAATAGCTTATGAAAAATTGTATTTGTGTTTGTTTTGACGATATTATTTAATCATTGTGCGTTTATTTAATTGTTTGAGGGGAAAAAATAAGTAATGATTCACCCAAAAAATCAACTCTCATTAAACAATTTGTATTTTCCGACGCATTTTTAAATAATTACATGTCCTTGTTCAGCCGGTTGTAAGACACGCAATCGATCGCTAACAGCATTGCGCACGTCTGACAATACTAGCCTACATTTTTGCTTCCTTTGCTGTTCTTTTTTTACAGAAATATAATCAAAGAACATAAACTGTCAGACGTCACGTGTAACCGGACACACAACTCCTTAAAACCATGTTGGAGAACAGAAAGTTGATTTTCCTGAATAAAAATTGATTTTTTTTATATAAGATCCTCTAAATTTTGTGCTAGAGGTCCTAAAACATTCTATATACATTTTTTTTATTTTGTGTGTGTGTGTACTTAAGTTATTTACTTTAGTTATTTTTATTTTTAGATTCTTACTTTTTATTTTCAGATCTTACATACGGCTGGCCAAATCGAGATTATGCGTCACTGGCTGATGCAGCTTGTGCCTCGTAAGAATGAAGATAAACATAAATCAGTAGCTGCGACTACAAGTAAAATTATTCAAAAACACCAAAAAATCATCAGTTTTTCAAGAAACATTGAAATACTTTATTCGTATATTGCGTTGCTTCAGTTTGTGTCAAACACGATAATGATATGTTCTTTAGGTTTTGTCATCGTAACAGTGAGTAATACCATTAAATACAAAACTATTGTCATTCTTCTAATTGTAATTGGACAATAATATAACATTGTTCAATAATAATTTATTTTTTATATTGCATAATATTATTTATATTGTATATTTATACATTTCATTTTCTTTGTTTAATTTATATTTTATATTATATTGTAGATTTGTGTTTTTAATAACTTCTCGTATATTATTTTTGCAATTTTTCAGGCAATCGGAAGCCCCAACGCGGTAGAACAAATAATGAAATCGATTCTATTCTACACTATAACAAATCTCGAAGCATTTATATTTTGTTATGCTGGAGAATATTTGAATAACAAGGTTAGTAACAAAATGATATTTATAACAATGATAAAAGTACATAATTATTTTCTTTATCTCGCAAAATATTGTAAAGAATACTATAAATATTAAAAATTTTATTATTTCTATTTTCATAGAGTAAAGAAATTGGGGTCGCGGCATACAATTGTGAATGGTACGATTTAAAATCTACAGAAAGTCGAATCTTGTTATTTATCATATTGAGATCGCAAAAACAATTGACACTCACGGTAGGAAAGATGATGGATCTGTCTTTGCAAGCTTTTACAAGCGTAAGATTTATATGAAATCTTTTTATCTTTAAACACGAAAAGAAAGATGCATGACAAAGAAGCATATATGTACTTGCTTATTATATAGAGACTTATAATATTAGAATATATTTATTCTAAATAAAAATATCAATTTCCAAAACAAAAGTGGCAACATTGTTTTAGATCATGAATGCTTCGGGTTCATATTTGTCAATGCTGTTGGCAATGCAATGAACGGAGAGGGGGTCAACAACTTTTAAGTAATTATAGAAAATATAAATTATTTCTAATTCACTAGTTATAAAAACGCACATTGTAATACAACATATTTTTTCAAATATAATACAAAATAATCGTAAAGCTTCTTATTTTTTTTGTTTTATCGGTACATCTACAGTTAAGAAATACCGTAAACACTGTTTACTATACGTAAAGAATAAAATTTATTATTTGCTTGAATTCTAATAAGTAAAATAATGTAAAGTTCCGTAGCGTCGCACTTTATAATTTTTATTCCTGTCGATTTTTTCCTCTCTCTATAGATTTTAGAACTTTCCTGAGAAGTCATTGGTCACGATTGGCCATCAGGTATTATTGTCAAATCTGCCTACGCATAAATTTTTAATTTAATTTAATTTAGTTTATTGCCAAGCTGAAAAAAATTCTATGAAAAAAACTACATATTAACAGAGTAATAGACATAAACATAAAAGATGAATCATTGCATATTTAAAACAAACAATTCGCGGTATACTATTAGTAGTATTAGTGCTCAAGAGAGGGAGAAATGATCCTTCTTTTCTTCTCCTCTCATCCAACGAAATTCACGAAAAACAATAACGAATATATTATACATACACCAAAGTAACAATACGTTTTAATATACTTGTAAGATTTATCTAAAAACATTTTATCTCGACATTAAAACAATATATATTTTATACTTATATATAATTTATAATAAATTTTAAGTAATTAATAAGATATATTTTGTTTATTTTTGATTAACTATAAATTGTCACTTTTATATATGTAATTTGTTATACGTGCCAGACATTATAATTACGT